AGATGCCTGTCAATGAGACAATGATGAGAACATCGTCGAAACCTATCAGATAGAGTGACATATTGTAATGTGTGTTTTTTTCTCTTCTGTCACTCATGTGTCGTCGTTCGGCGATAATTCAATTTGTGAATTTTGATGAATGACCATATAGTAGTACATAGTGAAAGAGCCAACAAACATAAATTCCAGATTTCAAGAATAGCTATGCTGTAATCTATCGTTTTCGAAGTCTTTGATATTGAATGTGGTCGATATGATATTATTGCTGTACTTGTAAGATTAGCATGTAGATGATCGTGAGCCGTCTCAGCCAACCAGGATGGTGTCAAATGGATATTATCACCGGTTTTGTGTCGAAAAGCAGCATAGAGAATGGTAGAAATAATTGTACATGAGAAAACAATCATTCCAACGAAGAGACCTTTAATGGATGCATGACAATTGACCATGAAAACATTTTTTGTTGATTCTTTATCAGATATATTATGTGTAAATGTTTTTCCGATATTTTCCCAGATGAGAAAGAACAACTATGTAGAATCAATTAGAATGCATAGGAATGGGTCAGAAACAAGAAGAACTTACTGTTAGACACATAAGACTAAATTCAATTGTACATGGATATAAAAATGGTTTCAATCTCATGTAACCTTCGAGGATGAAGGTAGTAACTGGTAATCCGTTGGCAAATAAGTTTGAACATTCAGAATGGAAAATCAGTAGATGATGAAGAAGATTGATTGTATCTTGACTGGCTAATTTTTCGATTTGAAAAAGTATATGAAAGATGAACAAAAATTGATGATGATGATAAATGCTTACCATTATTAAAATGGTTAGCCGTATTACTGTGTTGTGCTACAATCATTTCATGACCATTTATTTCCACAATTTGCGAGTTCGTTTCAATCACAACCATGCGAAACCTATCAAAATATATAATGGAACATTGTCTTATGACAACAAAATCTCGTAGAAATATTTTCTGATGGAATGAATATCGTTTGTTACCACCAATGTTTGAAATGATGAAATTTAGAATTAGCTAAATTATAGATGACGATTTGCCTTTATTGGAATCATGAAGAAACATGGCTTAATTCTGTAAGAATCTAATAGATCTTTTATAGAACGAAAGATTCCACTATTCTACTTTTCGAAGATGATATTTGCATCAATGAATATTCGAAAATAAAAGAAAAAAAAGTCTTTCTCATTATGAATAACAGTGAACCTACCATACACATAAATTGGTGACCACAATATGAATGACTGCCAATCGAGCTACATTCTCATGGGCTCGAATGATGAGCTAAAAAAACATGGTCAATGTTTGACCTATCTTTTGATATTGTATTATTTCAGAAGAACATACATTTGAATGTTTGAAAATAAAGAAGAATTGAGTGAGGCTGAAGAGTAATCGTGAAAAATCGTCGATTACAGTTGTCCATCGTATACATGAACGATTTTCCAAATTACTTAGAATCGATAGACTCGAATGAATCACTGTGCCAAGACAAAAAACTAGAATGATCCTTTTAAATGATTACCAGTATCTCATATTTTTTGTTCAACTTACTTCCAATACCTACACGAGTATAAAGACCACCAACGATGGAATTATCATCATAATTGTAACCAATAACATGTTGGACAATAGTGTTTTTTCGATGGTGTATATAAGTTTTGAGATTATGTTGTTCGTTTGGATCTAGAGCACGTCGTCTAGTAAAGATATCTCGTGTCGTATCTGTTGGTGATTGTGTTACCAATGATCGATGCGAGAGATTGTCCAAAGAGTTCAATTTATTATGATGATTACGAAAACTAAATGTATCATTATTGTCTGTTGATAGTTTATTGTCGTTTATCTTTGATTGTTCATTGTCGTTATCATCTAATTCATCTTTTTCGGGTTCATCAAATAAATGCAAATTGATATAGGATGTAATCGATAATTTTTGATTTGCTTCTGACGATGTTGATATAAACTTGTTTCGTGCGAGACGAGCATCACCAGTCAAACTTGTCTGCTTCGAATCCAATCTGTTCAAAGTGTTCCTAGGGATTTTGACTTTGCCTTGATGACGACTGATGTCAATAATACAGAACACAATCCAAATGATGGATACCCAATATAGATAAGTGAAATAGATCTATAATAAAGTGAAATCGATATTGTAAGTGAGTCTCAATTCTTTTTGGGATACATAGATTTACATCAGTCAAGTATTTGATAATTTCAGCTTCTTCTCTTGATACGATAGCATGCGAAACTGAAAAGGCCACACCACCAATGAAGACAACTAATGAATTATAGTATTTAGATCAATCATAATAGACCGAGCTAATCGTTTCGGAATGTTGGGAGAAAGGTTAATTCGAGCAAAATTTGAGTTTATATTTACAAAAGTTCGAATAGAGAAAATAATTAGTGAACAACTGAAAAGAGCTATTTGACTTCTTGCTGTTTTTATCGATGAGTTCTTTTTTTTCACTCCAACTATTGTGCTTTTAGTCGAATACGATCACACTACAACGACTTCTCTAGTCGGAGCAGTGCCTTACAATATCTAGTTTGAAATTTTTCTTCAATGTTATTGTCAATTGAGGATGGTCTACTAATAAAACGACAATTATCGAATATCTTTCATTGCTGATTTTAGTTCAATACTGGACTCCAGTCAAAATAAAAGAAAGAATTGAATCGAAATATTAGGATTCATCGATATAATATTTCAGCATAAAATCATTTTAAATTTAGTTTTCGAATAATATTTTCTCTTGAGAATAGTTGACCATCATTTTGATTGTTTGATATGAATCAATCAATTGTGGTCGATCAGAAATACATCAATAGATTTCTTTTTCCTAATTTTTCTATTGATCAGTTTTAATTCAATAGAATCATATCTTATCGACCTTTATTTCAGACTGATTATAATCTGATTATTCACTTAAAATTTTTACATGAATTGACTTGACTTATTTAGCTCTACTATCGCCACCTATAGTACAGAATTCGAACTATGTCCATCTTTTCCTTTTTTACATAAAAGGTCTCTTTTATCATCGCCATAAAGGTATGATATGACTTTGTATGACTCGAGTCTCCATGTTTATTTAATCAACAATAATAATTGATTACAAAACTGAATCGATTATAACTGTTGAAATCGAAATAGTTCGGGTTTTGATGATTGTATTTGTTTGCATATAATCACTAGGAATCCGTTTGAAACAATTAGAATTTAAAATTGATTCTAATTGATTATGTCGAATTCAAATCAAAATGATTCGATTATCGATGATGATTGTACAAATAATTATAATTGATTATACTTTATAATCGATAGCAGTGAATTCTAATTGGAAACGTCCAATTTTGTTTAAACAAAATCATCATACAATCGGTGAAAATTAATTTTCTCAAAAATCAATTTTAATCTCCAAAATAATTCGTCTAATGATAATCGATTTTAATCATTTCTTGCATGATTATTCGCTTAAATTTTTTTATATGTAATTTTTCCTAAAAATATCAGTTCTTTCGAATGAAATTCTGATAGAGTTATACTTCAAAGATATAACTTCTAGAATGTCTCATAACAAGGAATAAGTAGTTGATCACTGTGATATATTGTCCATATCTTGAAAATGCAAAGAGCAAACATCATTTATTTCAGCAAAGTTTGTCCTTCATATAATCATCAAAATGACCTAATTAGGTTTCAATTATCGAAGTGGAAAGACACTTCAAAATGGCACAGACTGTCATCAAAGTACGAAATTTCACTAAATGCAGTAATATTTCGAGTCCTACTAAAACTATGTCTCAGAACATTTTGGCTACTTTTATTTTTGCTGAAAAATTTAGTTCGGATTTCGTGAGGAATGAATCAAAATATTAGCCTCACTGTGATGGCCAAGAGCATGATTCCTCCTCTCTGTCATGTGCTCTCTCTCTCTCTCTTTTTCATGCTTGATTCTATTCTATGCTTTTTTTCTCTTCGTTGCGTGTCTTGTGTGTATGGCTTCACCTTATGGTATGCGCATGTGGGTCTTTTCACTCGCTATTATTCTTGGATTCGCTTTCAACCGTTGTTTTTGTTCGTTTGATGATGATACAGATTTATGAGACAGTCATCACACTGACTTTCATAAAAGGAGCTCTGAACTTTAGAAAGTCTGGAAAAGTGAAAAGAGCAGATAGATGAATAACAAAAATAACATTTTGATTGAGTTTATTTATTTTTACCGATTCCTGAGGGATCCAGACTGAACTTTTCAACGAAAATAAATGTACTTGGAACATTGTTCGACATACAGCGGTACACTCAAAATCATCCATGCATCTGAAGAAGCTGATAGAATTACGACTGAATGAATGGAGTTCGCGATCTTGTATTGTATCTTTTTTGATCGTGATAATACTTTGAAAATGTTTGTTTTATGAAGTTTTACGCATCTTGCCGTTAGAAAACCTGTTTTTATGTTGAAAGTATTTACCATAGTAATATGTCAATTGAAGATAATTTACTGTACGCTTTTGGTCAATGCTAAACATGACTTACCCAAACCATAGAGAATACTGAAGATCTTGTACACATCTGCGTTCTCATAAGTGGTTCTATACAGAAAAACAAGATAAGAAATCAATAGAGATGAAATTAGAATATGATTCATTTATTCTTCATACGTGATTTTTTTTAACGTTCCGTTACTTCCACTCTCCTTTCAACTCGACCGTTAAACAAATAGTCTCACGCTAACCTCATTCACATCGACATTTATATTCAATATACACTCAATACAAATTAAAAAATGTGCATATAAGAGTAATAAAAGAAAATATCCTACATGATCAAGCATAAGTGAGATAGCTTCCTTTGAAAAACGATATCCCATGTAAAAAAAAGACCCAAAAAGTAAGATTAAAATCGACTATTATTTTAAAGTTAATCCAAAAAAAAATCACAAGTGCTGGGTTTTCATCGATTAGTGACGCTTCAAATCGATCAAAATAATGTATATGTTGATTTTTTCCATGGGATAAAATCATTCTATCTTTTGTTCTCATACAAAATGTGTCATCAAAATGAACTGTACCTCAAAATTAGTTTATTAGCAATAGTAGAAAAAAAAATCTAATCCTTTGAATTATCAAAGATTCAGTCATAGAAAGTGATACTTTTATTTAATGACATGTAGATTACGAAGGTATCATAGAACAACTTCGAATATTTCAGCTATGAAAAAAGAAGAACAACATTCTGTTTATGCAGATTTTAAACTAATCAATATCTCATCATCATTCAACTTCTAGTACTTTCCAAGGGTTGTAATAAAGTGCATTTGATCCTTCTATACTCAGTCATAGCCGCGTATGAAATACAAAAAATAATTAGAAATTGTTTAGCAAGAGTATTTTTGAAACATACACTGATGATTACCACATAGGTTATCATAACTATTTTGTCTACAAGACCTTTTCATATGATTTCGTAGAATTATTACATAGAGTATCTTTAAAACAAAGAATCAACTCTAAGACATAAAACTGATTAAAATATTTTGCGAAATACAGAAACCGTTATTCTTTCTTGGCTATTCGTTAGATAAATGTATCGACAATGATTGAAAGCAAAAGGATGGTATTGGTTTATACAAAGGAACAAAATACCTTTTCCGAAATCCTGCATTGATCAATGTTTCTTCCCTTGTCATTATGACGATTTTTGCATAGAACCAGTGTTAGCGCTGATGGAATTACGCTTTATTATGTTTCTTCTTCTCAAGAATCGTATCGTTTCCATACAAAGCATACACTAATATACTCGCCCATCAGACAGAAGAAAGGAAGAGAAGAACAAAGTGCAACATGATGTACGAAGTAATGACAGAAAGATAAGGACAATACATAAGTTGGGAGGGAATAGTAAGGACAGGTCAAACATCATGCATCACATGCACTTACCCGGGAATGTTACACTCCGGATAAAAATTGGACGCTCTCCCTAGCGTCCGTAACATCAAGAGAGAAGGAAAAAAAACTAAGCGAACGGAGATAACAAGTAGAAAGTATTAAAGTGGTGTATCAACGTAGAACGATATCTATGAGTATATATTAACAGAAGAAGAAAAACAAATACAACGAAGAAATAACATGCAATGCAAAAGACTTAGCAAAAATGTCAACCTATGTTAGACTATATTGCCAGCTTCTAAACCAATCAAATTTTTTTTGTTGGAAAGAGCAAAGTCTGAGCTACAAATTTTGTGCCCGATTTGTTTTTCCTGAACGAATCTACGAAGCAAGAGAAACTAAAATCTAAACACCTTGAAGAAATTTCTTGCAAGATTTTTGCAACTTGAAAAGTTTCTACTTCTCAATTATCTTGAGCTACATGTATTGAATTCTAACAAGAAATATACCAAAATGTGACACATCGAAAGTTATATCGATATCAGCTTTGATAAATTTTTTTAAGATTAGTTCTTGACTCTTTAATTAAAAAATAGGAAACTGAAAGGGGGAGAGCACATAAGATCGTAAATCGCCCCCTCCCCCCTAGCTTTTTTCAACAGAACCTCTACTATCTTACATCATATGAAAGATCTTGTTGAGATAAGCATTTCTGGTGATGAAGTCAACTTTTTTTTCACGAGTGAATAAAAAGTTTGAGCATGGTCAATATTCTATGTTTTTGAGCCTAAATTGCTTTTATGACCAATATGATATAGTGGACCTATTCATATGATGACCACAAGGAAAAACGATTTTTTTTACTTCATCTAGTAGGCAATATGGCCGTCGAACACCACTACAAATATCAAGGTTTTTACTTTAGTTCTTCTAACTTTATAGTCGAAATATGATCCTCAAAAATCTCAAAACCCATATTTAGATTGTCAGACACATCCATTGCAGATATTCTTTCTCTTGAGGATGTGGGTGTGGTTCTTTTCTTAACCTACACCCACCCACACCCTTAAGAATTAGATTTAAGAACACTCGTCAAATCGACGCATTACTTATTTATAGAATTTCATTTATTACATTCAATGACATTGCCATAAGAAACTTGGTTAAAATGAAACTCCACCAAATACAGTCGATGCAACTATTCATAAATTAGTTGTGGTACTAAGTTCGATGGTAACATAGTTGCTAAACTTTTGCACGATTTTACTCTCATCCAATCAAGTGTTATATCAGCTGTTTGCATAGTAAATCCTCCATGATCCAAAATATGTTGATCAATATGATGATATGCATAGCATACTGTCACCTTATAACTTTTATCAACATTTGTTGCCACGAGTAGATAGGTTGCTGTACCATTTTTACCATCAACTCTGAATTCTAATTGTTTAAATTCTGTTGCACTGGCACCACTAAATTCAATGTTGTGACATAATGTTGTTTGAAACATGTTCCATCCATCAGCATTACTTAAATTTAGGATTCTTCTCAGACCTTGCAGATATTGTTTACCATCTGGTATGCTATTCAATACCTTTAAGTTAGTGGAACTAGTATGATTTTTTCACAAAAAGTTTTTAGACGAATGTCGTTCATACGCGTCGATGTACGTACGTTTAACACGAATTTCATTTACCATCTGAAAATTAGCAAAACAATGGTAATGACAAAGAAAATGAGTGTGAAAAGTGTATAGAATTTATCCCTAGCTGCAAACGAACTAAGAGAAACAAAAAAATTGTCTTTATTTCTTTATTCTTACTTAAAATGAAGAGGAAAAAATCATGGGTGAGCTCAATACAAAAGACATCATGCTATTACCGTTCAAACTTAATGTACATCACTGAATTGAATTCTGATGGCCATTTCAACTCTGTATCCAGTCTTCTCTACTACAACAAGAGTAAACGTGCAAGGTATTTCTCCAAAGTTTAATCGATACGAAAATTGTGTAGGATTTTTTAAACCCTTAATTGCATTTGATAAATGTTCTAGAAATGGTTCAGCATAACCACACGTTTTGCTGTACTCCACTATTTCAGGTATCTTAGTTAAAAATCCATTTTCCATTTTGTTCACTAAATGGTATCGCCATCCACTATTCCACAAGCTCCATTTACTTTGTCTTATAATGTCGTTAGCCACTCCATCTTGTAAAGCTTTGGTATTTTCACGTGAAAATATGACAGCTTTTTCTGTATGAATTCCTGGACCATTCAAGAAATGTGGCATCAAACAGTCTTTTTGCTTGTTCGATAAACGTAAATCATCACATGCACGTTGTTTCAACCATGAGAAAGCCATGCCTTCTTCAATCATCACATTTTCATGATCACCTGATTGAATGGTAGATCTCGATAGTTTATGATGAGAGAGGACAACTTCTCTTTGTCGAATATCAGAATGTTGTTTTACCACAAGAAGCAAGAAGCACAAGTCACCAATTTCATCAACATATTCAAGACAACTCACAAATTCATTACACAAACGATAAATTGATTGTTGCAATTCGTGAATAATCTTTTCCCCAAGTTTTCGCTGGTCAATGTTCCATATACGACACTGGCCGATTATATAAGGTTCAACATCATTTGCATTCTGGAGAACTTTCATACTATTTACTGCCGTATATTTCCAAGATTCCATCTTCCTTGATGTTGATCTTAGGATGCAGCAATTCCAAGCCATCGTACGGAATTTTCTCGTTTCTGATCCAGAATGTCAGATATAGAGGATTTGACCATAACTTGCCGTATGGTGAGTATAAGGATGTGAATCTGTAAGTGTGAGTGATTTTGGTGTGAGTTTGAATATTTCTGTGAGTTGCATGTACTTGTAGATTCCCTCTTCACCTACCGACATCCTAGATGGATATGTTTTTCATGGATCTTCTCAAAAAATTTCACCCAAGTTATACTGAAATGTTGTGAGATTCACCTAATATTCGTAGTATATTTTTCAAAATTTAAAATTTTTTTTTTCTTTTTCTGTTATTTTTAAAATAACTTCATAATTTTATCCAAAATACAGGTGGATTGGATCATATTTTTTCATAATTTGAGTGGATGCTCTTGTATAAAATCATGAATGACGAAAGGCAAACAAATCGAACGAAATTTGAAACATGGAGTTTTTTTTTTATTACTCTGGAAAAGAAGCTAAATCAGGCAATTACATAGTAACGTATCATACTGAAGAAACCTCAAAACTTTCACTTCAAAGTTTCAACTATCTACAAAGAGGACTGAATTAATAATTTTCTTAAATAATCATCTTCAAAAAGAAAAAGATTAAGTCTAATTGGTACTACTACTTAATTAATTGTGAAATTCTTTCTAATACCATTAGACTTGCGATTATTATAAAACACAACCGATCTGTTGTTATTCAAAACTAAACTCTTCTAGAAATATTTCGTCCATTGTGGAAGATTCTATTCTATTATTATCGAGACGAACTTAAGAATCATTCAAACTGATAAATCTGCATTTGCGTGTGTCAGAGACAGAAGAAAAAAATGTTTCAAAAAATTAGAATATCTTTCTGCAATCTTTCAGTTTCATGTGAACTTTTCAACTATTTTCAATCATGCATTTTCTTGAATCCAAAATTCGGACAACTAAAAAAATCTAATAAAAGCATAAATAATATTTGAGAAAATTCAGAAATATGCTCTTTCCAATATTAAACATTATCTTCAATGGCTGAGTGCCTAGAAAGATGTATGGGTCCCTTACCTTCCAACTTCAACACTTACGATTAATTGTTTTACACTAAAAATTCGAGTTTTTTTTACCTCTATTGAATCACACAGGAAAAACGCTCGACATTTGTGTCATTACTTCTATATTTCGTGAGCTATTATAGAGAAAGTTTGAGAAGCACTTTTTCTGATGTCATGTTTTTCTCTAATCAAGTAGAAACAGTTAGAGTCATTAAATAATCAGCAAACAGAAGAGAAATATAAGTATGAATTTTCAAAACGATTGATTCAATGATAGTTAATTTTTCTTCAGAGATGTGGGTGGGTGTGGGTGTGGGTGTGAATATGTGAATCTTTACCCTCACCCACACCCTGATATTTTTCCACGTGGTGTAGAAAAAATTCAGTTTTAAGATAGTTCCGTCTAATTTATTACGATTTTGAAATACATCATAGATTTTCTTATTTTGTCTACAGTGACAAAAAGTGCTATGTGTGACATTTTTTAAGTAAAACTTTTGACAAAGAAATGATTTTATCGTGTGTATTGGTACTATTGTCTCGTTTTGCTAAAGTTTTTTTTTATTTTATTTTAATAAAATGCTTAACTTATTAGTTACCAGTATAAAAACGAAAACAAATATCCTTTAGAAAGTTTTTTTTTATAACTTTTTATTCTTGATTTCGTTTAATAGAATTTTACGAATATAAAGTTAAATCTTCTGCAATGACATCTGGGACAATTACACTTATCGACCTTCCCCTCATCTATTGACTTAACTCGCCTAATTAGATCCTGGGGAGTTCATTAAATGTTTTCCCAAAGGAGTGGGTGTGAGTGCTCATCGTCTCCTCATTTACACACACGCCCACACCCTCAACCAGAATCTATATTCAAACCTTTAACAATTTATTACCAATATGATTAGCTCATTGAGCTCTACAAATCCTGAAAATTTCAGTCGATTCTGAGAAGGTCGATGTAAATGTGGTACGTTTCCCATGGATTAGCCCTTAACTAAACAGACTCTGATCTGGTTGAAATTTATACCAATGTTAAGGCAGTCCGTACTGATTAAGATTCCAAAATCATCCTCAAGATAGATAGCCACTCCCACCTCCTCAAAGTAGTTTGTGCGACTAAAGACAAAAAAAACAATACAACTGATTCGAATTTCTATTATGAGAATAAGGTCAATAAGTTTTCAATGATTTTTGCGTTGTGTATTAACCATCAGTTTCTTAGACATCGGACAGATAAGCAATTATATTCTCTCAAATAATCAGAGTAATTATGATACAAATCCTTGTAAAACTTGTCTCTCAAAAAAAAAACAACAGACAAACTTCTGTCATACCATATCTAGTTTTTATTTTCTTTTTTTTCTTCTGAATAAGACAAACAGTAATTTAAAATGCATGAAATGTTAAGTGTTAGAATCTTCGGAGAATCCGTCGGATCGGTGAAATTCTATACCAATACAATCAGGTTGCTTCAGAACGAGTGATTGAACTTCTGATTGAACCATAAGTTCAGCGTATTTGGATGCTCTTTCATAGTCACCTTTTTCTTGACAGATGGTATTTAATATATGGTAATTTGCGATCACCGTCGGATGAGATACGGGCATAGACTTCAATTTCACTTCCAATGAGCGTTCATAGAATGTTAAAGCTTCATCAAATTGACCAAGAGCTCGATAAACACTTCCTATACTATGCAGAGACGTACCAATAGACGGATCATTCTCGGGAAGAACTTGTTGTCTAATATTCAGAGCTCTATGCAGAAATTCTAGTGCAACATTTGAGGTGTCACGAATATTTTTCGACAGTAAATAAGTATTTCCTATTCCATGCAAACAATAAGCTATCATAGGATGCATCTCATCATGATTTGTTCTCAGGATTGATAAAGCTGTTTCTAACGATTCAAGTGCTCGATCTATATTACCTGTTCGTGCATGCATTAAACCAACACAGTGATAAGAATCAGCAATTAAATCATGATTAGCAGGAAGTACTTGTTTATATTTGTCAAGTGCTTTTTGATACCATTCGAGACTTTTTTCATATTCCTTTCTCTCTTCAGCGATACCGCCGAGTGAATGATAACAGACAGCGGTATTTTCTTCGTCATAACGAAAACCTTTACGGTTTAACATTTTATTCAATGATTGATGGTAATATGTTTCTGCCAAGTCGAATCTACCCATCTCTTTCATTAAATAACCAAGCGTAATCAACGAATTGTCATTGCCAACACGTTTTGTTCGATGAACTAATAATTCCTTGACCTTAACATCGATGTCATAAAACTTCATGGTGATCAGGTGAATCTTCTCATTTTCATCGAAACTTATATCACAAACACGAAAAATGGATCCCGCCATAAAAAGTATTTCTTGTTCTTCAGGAAAATAACTCTTCGAACTAATATCTGCAAATGAGATTAGATCATTGACTTTCGAAGGATCAGCATCAATAATGAATAATACACGTTTTAATGAGATTATATGATGAACATGCCATCGTTCTAATTGCTGAGCAGCGTCACCCAGAACGAATACTGCTAAATTTCGATCAATCGTTGTTGAAAAAAAAGATTTCATCAAAATTGATTGATCAACAGATTTTTCCAAAGTAGCCAGTTCCTCAATGGAAATCAATTGACCACGATATGTTTGGATTGGTGTCTGAGGTTGAACTTGTTGTAATGCATATAACTGATCACAAATCTCGTTGATGAAAAAGCGCATATGAAGAAGAATCTCGATATTTTGTTGACGCAGTGCCTTGTTTAAGGCACTATAGAAAAATGTTTGACGTGTATACCTGAAACATAATGCATCTAAGACAAATACGCCGAACAACACATTTTTATGCAATCATATTCTATAAAATGTTTTGGATTTATATGTATTATAGAGATCAATAATAATATTAAAGTGAGAGAACTTTTAAAGGTAGTATTTTCTTAAATAGAAAACCACTACTGATATATATACAATGATAGACTAATGTCGATGCTACGACTTACCACCAAAAGACTTGATCAGGTGAGTACGTATTCATAAATTCATCAAGAATGCGTCTGTCACTCATATTATCTGAGTATTTCTTAGTCCAAAATGCAAGAAATTCGTCTTCATCATCTGCCGCCCAATCCATTTTTCGAAGAAATTCGAGCAGGAGACGAAAGTGAAGAACATCTCCATCATAACCAAGAGCCGAGTCACCATACATATTAATCGAGAAAGTGAGTACTGATATCGATTCTTTTACCTTATTCATTCGCTTTTGATCGAGTTCGATTTTATTGACAAGTTGATGCATTTCGTTAAATATACCACCTATCTAGAGAGAAAACAATGTACGACTTTTAAAATATAATCATTGAATATGAATCGCTTAATTCACCTTAGTGAAATTTTTCATCCAGACTTCTTCCCAGTGTTGACTACGACAGTAAATGTAGATGGATTTTATATTTTCAAGATTATGAATATTTTCGATCAATCGTTCTGCCAGTTGTTTGCTAACGATAATCAAAAACGAGTTTTTGCTATGTTGTAGAGTATATTCTTCACAATCTAATAATTGTTCAAATACGAATATTTGAATTCCTTCAAACAACTCCCGAAGTTCTTGATGAGCTTTTCGATTTTCTTCTTCAACGTTCACGTTCGCATCGACCCAAATGATTGCATCGACAAATATATTAGTTTCTTCTTCTTCATCTTTTGAGTTTCCAACATGGTCAACACCAAGTGATTCAGTCATATTTTTAGTAATGATTAATTTTTCAAATACACACAATTAAAAAAAAGATTTCTTTTAAAACGTAAATGTACTTAACAGATCATCTAAAAGAAACGTTCACAAATCTAACTAAAATAATATTAGAATTGTATCAGATAGTGTTATCTCACAATAAGTTACATCCCGGAATGGATTTGGATAAGTGATAAGGATTCCTTTAATTGTCAGTTTTACAGTTTTAATAAGGTGTATGACAGTTTACAGCTGAATGATTTATGAGAAATGAAGTAAAGCATTAAATTTGACTGAACTGTTTGTTTTATATGTGAAGCTAAAATGGAATATTTAGTACTTCCAGTTCAAATCAATGACATTTGAATGATCTATAAAGTATCATATGTTTAATTTCAAAGCTAGTCCATTGATGATTTCATCATGGAAAGAGTAGACTTGTGGAAATGTGATGACGAACTACGAGAGAAGTTAAATAAAAATCATTTATGAATATTGCACATTTCTGAGAATGTAGCGACAATGAATTCTTTCTTACATTTTTATTCACAAGTATTTTCTGTTTTTCGTACCACTAGTCACATTTCGATCATTTACTTCTTCGTCTTTTACAATTACGTTCGACAGTTGGAAGAAAAAGAAACATTCTCGATTCTGTTCTATTTATTTAGTAGATTTTACAGAACGAAAAAGAAAAAAATATTTCCAAGCTGAGAGAGTGAGAGTCTGAAAAAGAGTGATTGATTAGTCTTATTCATAAACAATTTTACTGCTTTTTAAACACTCTCTCGACATAAAGATAATTTTAAAAATTCTATTTTTGTGGATTTTATTGTCGACTAGTTCCAGTGATGATTGATACCCAACTTCTTCAGGATCACCAAAAATCGGCAAACATCAAAACTTAAAATTAAAAATAATATTAACAATATAGACTTCAAAAACATTTATGTGATGTAAAGTTGACCAAAAAGCAAAACGAGGCGAAAGTTAAAAGAAAAAGAAGCAAATTCAAAAGAACAGACGAATCTTAAGTGAATGCCAAGATTAAAAATTAGGCTAAAAATAATAAAAAAAATGTGGATAGTGAGAAGTGAATCCAAAAGTAAAATGAAATAAAAAAGTTGTTAGCACAATCTCTGACGGGATTAAAATGTGAAACACGATCGAGCTGCTGACACTCTAAAATCAGAAATTCAAGCATCTATCACGCTTTGTGAGGGTCTATTGCTAAGGCGCCTCTCACGGTCTGTGTCCCTTTGTTGATTCTGTCTGTCACGATCTGTGATGTTTCTATGGTAATAACTGTTAGTGGCTGTAACGTTGCTAAGAATGTAGGCTATGTCTGTGACGAGATACTATCAAAATACGCTCTATTTCCATTACCTGATTATTTATTGTTCAGTTACTTTTTTTGCGATTGTTTCTTTCTATTGGTAATTAAAAATAAAAATTATTAAATGAATTACTTATTATTAGTAATTAATAATTATAAGTATTCATTTTATTACTAATCCCTGGTAATTAATAATAGTAGTTTTTAATTTCATTAATTATTTCTAGTAATTAATACTGTTAATTATTAGTTTTATTATTGATACTATTAGTAATGGTTATTTAACACTGCAGTTACTAAGATGTCTGTCGCGGTCTGTGATGGGAGTGATGTTGCTAAGGTGTCTGTCATGTCTGTGATGTACCGTTGCTAAGGACTTCAGCACTCTCTTTGCGATCATGTTTCACAAAAAAGAAGAGAATTAAACTGAATAAGTCAAAAACAAGATATTGATTTTTATTTGCAAAGAACATTTTTTTAATTATTATAGATATTAAATTAAACTTGAACAAAGGTTAATTTATTTTTGTAATTGAATATTAATGTTAATTGTGGTCCATGTTCGTCCAATTGACAGTCAACATCTATTGAAATAAATATTTATTTTGAATAGAAATTGTTCTTGTTAATATTATAACTTACATTTAATCTGTTCAATAGTTAGATATCAAATTTTCTTTTGGAAAACCATGACTAACTAAATGTTAGAAAATAAATTAAAAGTAATCTTTTAAGAATTACTTACCATATGCCCTTCTCTATAATTAAATAGTCCATCATATACATATAAAAATTTTAAACCTAATTCATAAATCGTTGATGGTTTTGTTCCATAAAATAGATCAATAAATTTTTTAAATATATTTTTCCTATGATAAAAAATTCTAATTAAAATGATTATTTTTATTTAAAAAAAAGTAGTTACTTTTGTTGAACATCTATATAAATTGATTCAATGACACGTCGTCTACGAATAACTGTTGCTGATGGTGGATGAAATCTTTTTTAAAATAAGATCAACATTAAACAGAAACAAATAATTATTCTTAACTTACGAAACATATTGTAGACAATTTTGTGTATTACATTCATTGGTTTGATAAATACAATGTGATAAAATTGATGAGGATTTAAATAAATAAAAACCGTTATCAAGGACATCTTGTGTCGAGCAATTTGATTCTTCGTCATTTTATGTATCTGTATTGATTGATGATATCGATTTATTAATTGTAAATTTCAGTTCAGTTTCCTATTCAGAAGATAATAAACAATTTGATATATTGTTTTCATTTTGTTTCATTTCTTTCAATTGATCGAATTTTAAAACAAGAAAATTGAATTCTACAGTAAAAATTAAATAATTTCATATTTGAAAAAAAAAATGTAAACCATAAAAAGATCATCAAATAATTGTAGAATATATTGAATTTGTTGATCTAGTGTAAAATCCATATCGATCGATGAGACGTGATTAATATTATCTATGAATATATTTAATTGTTGATTTTCTTCTTCTGAATGATATTTATTATTGATTGTTTTCTATTTTTGAGTTAATATATTATACTCAAATTTAACATTATCTGATCCATATCAATATAAATAATTATAATCAAAAAAATTTTCTTTTTTTTTTTCATTAATTATAATGATTTCCACAGAGAAATGTTCATTAGATTGATTATATTTTCGTAAACATTTATAATCAAGAATTTTATGAGCTAAATTTTTAGAGAACAATTATTATTTTATTGAGAAAAATGAATCAAATGAGAAATTATTGAAATGACCCGTGCCTTTTCTATTTATATGTACGCTCCTGAATACATCATAGTTGACCTATATGTTCGACATGTTTGACCTAACTTTTATCTTTCTCTTTTTCCCATTGATTTGTCTTTGAAATTCAGACGAAGAAAAAGTAACATTCACTGGTGAAAAGTGTTTAGCAAATTAGACGATTCATTCTATGTAGGTTTATCCTTAAATCTTCTTATATGAAAAGGATACAATTATGATGTTGCCGAAATTGAAGGTGAATTAGTTTAATAAAATGACTAAACATTTACTCCGTTTAAATAATATATTTGTCAAAATGAGGGTGTACGTGTGGTTGTAGGTGTGGGTACGGGTGAGGGTAAAGATTCACATATCCACACCTACGCCCTAGTTTCAATGCGGTAAGTGTTAACGAAAAGAATCAAAATTGATTCTCAAAATATAAAACATTTATTGATGAATAAACAATTAAAAACATTATAAAAAATGCTCGAGATTTGGAAATTCAGATAAATAGAAAGATTATTTCATTCGATGGAATTATCTTTTTGTTTTTCGAGAGTTAATCAAACAAATTGTTTGGATTATGGATTCAACTAGAATGAATTTCTATCGAAAGTCTTTATGTCATTTTGGTTTCTGTTGAAACTTTGAACACTCATTATCGACTCCTCAAGTACTTTTCAACCACGCACAACCTTTCAAAATCTCGATTGCTCGGGAAAAGTAATCATATCGAAAGGATACTTTTAAGTGCTTCCGTACAAGCTAGTCTATCACAATGACAGTTTCGACTCCCGAATTTATTTTCGATTACGTGATATTTCTTTCTAAAGCGATTTTGAAATACCATTGTTATTCACTGATATTAGTAGACTTATCTGTTTTTTTAGCAGATATTTCATCTTAATGTCGTGATTTTCTAAGTAATATTTAACATCAAATGATGAAATCTCATAACTATAGGAGGGTGTAGGTGTGGATTATGAGAAGAACTAGACCCACACCCACATCCTAGTAAAAAAAAGTAGCTGCGGGTTTGACACGCATCACATGCTCAACGGTCCAACTATCCTTGACTTTGATGTTTACAGTTATATATTTGCTTAAGAGAAATGAGTCCCTTATCAGTATCTCCTTGACGTAGTTCTCTCTCTAGCCAAAATAACCAATATATAAAGAGTCAGTCGATTTTCCTGGTCTGGTGAAACTTTCAAATAGTAATGTAGCTGTTGCTCATGAGAAAACTCATAACTCAGAGGCTGCATGCATTTATTTGAGCTCCTAAGATAGGACTCGCACAGCCAGATAAGTCGTTGCAAACTAGTTACTGATAACATTTCCTATTTTTAACTAGCAACTTCTTAGCGGCATATCTTCTGGTTCGACTTCGCATGATGATCTGCGGAAACTATCTCACAGTGCATCGTAAAATGGAAAATCAAATTGATTTTTAAATTCTTCCTGAAGTATATTTCAGTGAGCTATTGCATTCAAAGAATGCAGCAAGTTCTGTGTTGAGATGTACAGTTGAACTCATTAAATCTCTTCAACATTCAAATACAATTCAGGCAAGACTACATTCTTTTTTTAGCTATTGTCCCAACGAATAGATCTACTGAATATTTTTGTAAATACGATACTGATGGAGAGAGTTCATCAGACAGGAGGTTTAGAGGTCACAGACGGTCTAGAATCGGTCTATTCTACGGGACTTAAGGGTGTGGGCGTGCGCGTATGGACGTATCTGAGGAGAGGATTTAGGCGAACCCCTAGATCCAGATCCACACACCCACATCCACCCCCTTGATCAAGCGAAGTGAGTGGTAGTAGGGGAGAGATGAGTAATGTTCATTGAGATTAGATCCCTGTGATCTGAATTACTTTCAGGTACTCCTTGAAAGCTCGGCCAGGAACTGTTACAATATTCGTAGCACACGACCGGGACGTTCACGCTCATTGACACATCTCTCGAGTAGGTGGGATGTGAATGATTTGAGTCTGTCCCGTGCGTGCATAAGCTTTACGCTCGCCACACCTCCAGCAGGATGTTTCCTCGTCACGTACATGAATAGAATAACAATTTTTTTCATTCATTCAACGCGAACTCATTTGAAAGAAAGGAAAGAAAAAAATATAATCGATCATAATGAGTTCATTCAATTGAAAAGCGTTGAACACGATCATTTCCCCGATCGACGACATAAAGATTGCTTTGCCGATCGAAGGATATATCGACAGGACCGGCGAATTGATTTGCTCCTCGTCCCCAACCATTTCCGCCAACAATAACAGTGCCTTGTTTCGCTCCTTCAGGCCAGCGCATTACTCGATTATTCTGCGAGTCCGCCACATAGAGGGTACCCAGCGTATCGACGAACAGTCCATTAGGATTCCACAATTGTGTCAGAGTCTTTCCGTGACCTTGACCCCCAGCGACGACAATTCCTTCTTTTGCACCTTTATTCCATTTCATAACACGATGATTGTCAGTGTCTGACACGTAGACAGTTTCTTGTTGATCGACAAAGATATAGGTCGGCCATTTGAATTGATTGAGACCAACACCATCACCATTGCCACCAGCCACGATAGTTCCATTCTTGTCTCCTATTTTATATCGCCTTACTTCGTATTTGTCGTCTTCAGAGATGTAGAGGTATCTCTGGTCATCCATGAACAATCCATAACAAGAGATGTTGTGGATGAGGATTATGCCAAATGTGTCACTAGGACGAGACCACCGTAGGACTCGTCGATTTCCTCGATCACAAATAATGATACTATCAGTCTCTTCGTCGATCAACACATCGGTTGGCCAATACAATTGATCGAATCGATTTCCTTGACCACGGTTACCAGCTACGACTTGTCCTTTCGTATCATTCATCTTCCATTGGACGATACGATGATTGTCGGTGTCAGCGATGATAATCGTTTGATTATCATCAACAAACAGACCTCTGGGTAGACTGAGTTGATCCAAGCCTCTGCCACCTCCACTGGTCCCCGCAATGGTCACCCCATTCTGTGCCCATCGAGCATCGACAGAAATATTTGGAAATACTACAATGAACACGAAAAAGAAAAGATATCATCACCGTCGTTGTCTACAAATAAGATATTTTTCTTCTTCGAAGTAAACTAGGTAGAACTTTGGAGAATGTCCTTCCTCAACATAGTCTAAACAATTAAAAGATTCTCTTCAATAGATATAAATTGGGAAACCTTTTCCTAGTTTTCTACGAAAAAAAACAACTTGGTAATGATTCCTATGCGAATATTTTGAGATTTCTAGAAGGATTTTGTTTTCGGAAAGAAGTATTTCTGTAATACTGAGAAGATTGATGTTAATCTTATTCAAACTTAAATTCTTCCAGAGTTTATTTGACGAACCGAGAATAATGAATTTAGTCAGATTGCTAAAATGAAAGAAAAACTGAGAAGATTTTATCGAGATCTTGATCTTTGGGTGTTTCTCAAGGAGATACCTGAAAGGATTCAAGCAACATATACTAACGACAAGGAATATCTTGAAGTTCTTGACAATGGAATAAAAAGTTTATTGCTGAAGTTAGTATTATTGAAACTTCTGAGAAGCCAAATACTAATTGTATGCTACCTATTGATTAGAAAACATGAAGATCTGAAGATTTTATTTTTAGTTTCTAAGGCAAAATTTTATCGATGAGTATCAGAAACGAGAGTAATGAACTAAAGTCCTTGAAGAATTTCCATTCAAGTCAAAATATAAAGAACGTTGTCAGATACCAAAACTGAAAAAAAAACTCTATGAAGATTCTATTAGTGTGTGGTTAGAGAGAATTTGAAGAATGCGCATCCTGAGAAGCATGTATTTGAGGTTACTTTTAACATGGTTGGACGAAACTCGTCATCATGTGATGTTCTGGATGAATAATACAAATCTACCGAAGGAACTCCTTATTGCTCACTTACTGGATGAAGGTGACGTTTTTTTTCAGATTTTTTGTTCAATTTATGCGCAACTTTTCGAAGAAGAATCCAGATAGGATAATAGCAAGATCAAGAGTAGTTTTGTATAGGATCGGAATCTGAAGAAATTTCAAAGTATTCGACGCGAACAGTTGGAACTAAATACTTTCTACTTCTATGGCATTGAGTAATCCAATACCAAGTTTATCGGAATTCGTCATAGTAAAATGTACAGATCAGTAGATTTTAGCATCAAGGTGAGAGAGCGTTCTAAAATTAATTATTACTTGATAGAGAAAATCAGCTTCAAACGAGCATCTGAGTAAAACAGAAAAGCATTTCCATGACTAAACAGTGATAACCTCTTTGAAAATCGAAAATGCAAAAAAAATTCCAGAGAATATTCCATTAGGATCTTGCTTTAATGCTTATATATTGTTCGTTCTGAAAATCTTTCTCTAAGTTAAAAATAGATATTAATTAAGAAACCTTTCTCCTAGTTTCCTATGCAACGAAAAGAACTTCGTAATAATTCTTACGGCAATCGTTTGAGATTCCTGGAAAGAGTTCTTTTCGAGAGGAAGCATTTCTGAAATACTGAGAAAAATATAATGCTAATCTTATGCAAACTTCAATCGTTTCAGGATCTATATGATAAACTGTGGACTCTTTTTCAAGCAATGCAATAATGAGGTTAGTCAGATTGCTAAAATGGAAGAAAAATAGAAGATTCTATATGGATAGAGAACGTATTGACCACATGTTTTTTTTGTGTGTTGTAATGCAAATCTTCTGAAGGATAACATAAACACTTTTACAGACAATGCAAGAGACACTTTTCGTATCGAATTTTCTCAAAAAAGTCTAGCAGCGTATACTAAGAACAAGAAATATCTCGAAGTTTTTGAGAATAGAGCAAGGAGATTAATGTGGAAGTTAACATTGTTGAAATATCTGAGAAGTCTAATGCTAATAGTCTGTTGTTTATCGACTGGAAAACAGAGATCTGAAGATTTCATTCATATTTTATATTGCAGAATCTTATCAATGATTATCAATAGCAGTATTAGCAAGCTTAACTTTTTTCAGCGTTTTTATAAGGAACTCTAAACAAAGTCAATTGTGATCTTTTAAAGAGGTTGCCATGAATAAGAATTTCGACTGCTTGGAAAACAAAGGTGCATTGTCAACTGTAGCTATCTTTTTGAATGCTTTCAACATGATTTTGTAGATGAAAAATGAAAATCTGCCGGAGGATATCGTAAGTATTGACATAGAATATAGAGGATTTTTGGAAATTTATGTTAGGCTCTTTGAAGGATGATGCTGAAGGCATCTCAACAAAATCATAAGAACATTTTTATGCATATGAAATGCAATATTATTCAAGCTCTGCATAGGGAAGCATATCAATTTAGTCTGCTATCTATCTTATTCGTCGAAGTAGAAAGAGTAACTTTAAGCTATTGCGCCTATATCCACATACACCTTATAAGTCATTTCTTACAAAATGGTAATCGGATTGATATATGTCAAGCTTTGATCACATGTATCCAAGATTCTCTCAAAATCTTCATAGTAGAGAATTCTAGCATGCTTATCAATTAAGACTAGTCCGGACTCAACACCACTACATAAGGGTACACGTCATCGTATGCAATGTTATGGTCGCTCTTCCTGTTTTTTTCAAGTATCATCACGACTAGAATAGCAACACGTCTTTTTCCCGTTATTTGCTAACTTCGGTGCTAGTATTCAATGTTGTTACTATTGTGTAAGAAAATGACTTATTGTTTTAATTTTCATCTGTAAGAATAATATTTTGGTTTGTGGTTGAAGCGAGTTTAAATTTTTCATTTTTTTTTGTCTTTCATACGGATAACAGAAAAAATACTATTGTTAAACTATATTTTTGATCCCATTAAAGAGATTTTACCTGTTGTTAAATAGGAAAAAAATATATATGAAGCGTTTTATACATAATTTTCAGACATTGTCGAAAAGAATAATAACATGAAGAAGCAGTGAAAATAACCTATTTTAAGACCTGACAGTTGTCAATTTCACAATGCTCAAAAACGTATGATTATTTTACAAAAAAACAATAATCTATGTCTGAAAAGTTGAAATTTTGCATATGTGTGTTTTCTTGATAATTTGTATCACTGTGCTATTGATATAACATTAGATCAAATTTAAAACTCAAACTTTTTTATTTGATCAATGTATATATATATAAAGATTGCTTCATATATTTCAAATCATTCTGAACATTTTTTTTTTGATATTTTTATTTTTACTATTTTCTGCTCATTGAAATCCAATGTATTTAAAAAACAGAAACTTTGCAATATGTTCGATTATTGTCTTCTTTTTTTATATTCATTCATTTATTTAATGAACTGTTATTGAACAAAGAAAGAAGCAGTATATTTAAACAAGCAGGCTCTCTTCCTAGAAAGTCCTCTTATTATACTCTACGTCTATCAGTCTACAAGTGCACCTTCGCAGTAAGTTATACGAATTCATAAACTCAAATCGTTTTTTTTATAAAGAAGACTTCACAGAATCTGAGCAATCGAAAGAATTAAATGAACTAAGGCGATCTAAGAAGCCTGAAAAATCTCATGAATCCGTGGATGCCAACAAATATAAACAACTAAAGCTGCCGGAAAAATTCAAGGGATGCAAGTTGTTTGAAAACCGTAAGAAATCCATGAATTCGAAAGACTCCGCAAAAAATAGATGGTATCGAGTGAATTTAGAAAACACAAGAATTCCCAAGAAATACAGAAAAAGGAAAGGAAGACAAGGGATAGAATATTTAGAAGGAATCTAAAAACCACAAAGTGTCATAAAATTCAAATAAAAATCAAGAATTCGAAATGCTTTCGAAAATCAAAGAAAGCTAGAGAGTGTCAAGTACACAAGATATGTTTTCCGAGTAGAGAGTTTTAAGGGTGTGAGTGAAGGTAAAGAGAAGCATCTTAAACACATTCAAAATAGAACAGGAAAAAATGCCGATAGGTGAGAAAACAACTTATTTTGAAAAGTGTGAGAACAGACTTGAAATAAATGTCCTTGATCAACTAATGGCTTAGAGAAGAAAGAGGACAATTGGTTGTATGAAATCTTTTGTTCTACGAAAATCATGAAGTCTTTCAAGTGAAGAGTCAAGATGTAACCTCTTCTTTGAAGCAACCTCATTGTTGAAAATCCTCGTTTGCCACCATACTTTCGTAGCTGATTTAGTTCGAGTTTACCATTATCTCCTTCTCATACATTCTAGGCTCGTGCGATTCATATTGAATCTTCAATAACACGAATGTTTTGATGTTTTTAACTTATTTGGGTATTTTGTCTATATTAAATGAATCATCACTAAAGATCCTTTACAGAGCACAAGGCAATACATTTCTGCATACACCGAATAATCTTAATTCATTTATATTTAGTAAATGACATGAATGAAGGATACATAACAATCAGAATTTTCTCTGGACCTATTCTAACGGTTTTTCTAAATCATCAACTTATTAGTTTTTGATTAATCTTATATTAATCGACAATGACATGTTTACCCTTTTCGATCTTGGTAGTCAAAACTATGAAAAAAATTCTTAGAATAATGTGTATTCTTATAAAATGAAGAGAAAGAATAGATTTCGTTCTACAGTTGTCAACAAAGCGAATGAAAATTCGAGAGTGATGAAAAATAGTCAATATGGAGATTACTATTATTTGTTTTTTCATTTATGCTTAGTATTGAACTACTTATGATATCAGATCATTGATCTTACCAATCTAATCTTTAGTTAGCTGCAGAGTAACATTATATATATACGTGGGTGAAAATTAATATTTGCCAAGATCAAGAAGCTTTAATCTAATGCTTACCTAGTTGTTGGGTAGCAGTTGTAGTTGTTGTAGTTGTTGTTGCAGTTGTAATTGGAATCGTACTTATAGTTGTATTATTCATTGCTATTCATTATCATAGAAAATATAGAACTCGATGCATTTAAGTTTTAGGTGAAACCTAGGCAGTGTTTCAAAGTAGATCGATGATGTCAAATGGTCCAAAAAAAGGATTTTTCTTCTTTCAAAACTGTTTTTTAATGGAAAAACCCTATGTTCATCAGAGACCGAAAACTTTGTAAAATTTTCGATAATTCGATTTGTTGTGATTCGGCTGAATCAAATCAAACCAAATCGAATCGAATTGAATTAGACCGAATCTATCGAGTTTCTGTTTTATGTTGAATACGAGCAAAGAGTTAAATGCATTAGTTGTTGTTGCAGTACAAAATCGTTATTCAAAGTATGAAGCTTGTAATTTCAACCTCTCACATAAACTGTCCATCTGTTAGTGTGTTCATCTGAAATCATTAGAATATTCTGTCGTTATATCAGTAGTGTGAGTGAAATAAATTTTAACGAGCTCTCTCTCTCTCTCTCGTCGTCAGTCAGTTTGAATGTTTTTGTTCTTCTGTTAAGAAAGAAACCTCAAATATTTGATACATATAGGCATAGCCTCAAAAAGAAGAAGCTATACCAAGGGCAGTTAACCAATATGCATTCTGCGCTTATTAGTGTTTCATTGAGGCGACTGAGTCAGTGATGCCACAAGTTGTGAAATATAATTTACATATACAGTTGCATTACTGATCATTAGTGGCATATAAATCCCATTCAATGACTGAAGTGAACCTAATATTCACAAGAATCAGTCGAATATACAATGAAAATTGTAAATAAAGAGAAGCATGGCACAATAAATTTGATGTACGATTATGAAGATCTAAATACATGACACATTCTACAGAATCGAATGATCAATTGTTCAATGTGTTTCGGTCTTTGATTGTATATTCAAAAGTTCACTACGTCTTCATGTATTGCTAGATATAACTGTAGGGAACTCTCTTTTTCAAATTAGTGGATATGATTCATCAAACGAAATGAAATATTTTTTTCCAATGATTAAAATTTGTTTTGTCTCTGTTATGTTATATCTATTTTTTCAAAGGCTCTTTGACTCTTTCCTACCGCTTCTACAACAACATGAACTGTGTTTATTCTCTTACTTGGTATTGGTGGACAAAGTTGTCGATTGAAACTCGGCACCGGATAACAAACTGGAAGATTATGACATTGAGGATGATGAACACATCTATGGTTACGATCGTAACAAAGGTTGCTTGAATGTTCGCATGCAACTAGCTCAGAACAGTTGACGACTTCATCGGCACAAATGCCAATATCAGTAGCTCCTGCTATATGGTAACAAGCACATGCACTATTTGTAGAACATCGACCATATTGAGATATCCCATTACAGAATTGAGATTTCACTCGAACTAATGACATATAAATTAATAGTAGAACATGTAAAACGAAACAATAATCAAACCTGTAAGGCTGAAAAGGAAGAGTGTTCAACATTAGATGAATAAGTAAAAAAAAATAGGTTTTATAATTACCTGAATAGAACGAATACGAAACAATGGACTACTGTTGAAAACATCATTTGCGTTGAAATGAGAAAGAATAGCTTCGGCATCCATCTTTATATGTAACGAAGAGACAATATTTTTCGCATTAGTCGAAAGCGAAGAAGCGCATGATGTGATCCTTCGATAAACAAAAATTCGATATTACACCACTGCTTTCTTAAGCACTTAATTATCTCGGAAAAAGCAATCTTTATAGAAGAAAAAAAAATCTCATCAAAAGCAATATGGGATTACTTTTGCGATATAAACGCTTTATAGACTCGTGACATCATTCGAAACATGAATACTATTATTGTCACTTATCGCCTCACTATGCAATGACATTTTAGAATAATTTCAAGGACAAATTTTGTTTTTTAATATCCGTATATTTATTATGAACAGCTTAAAGAGATTCGTATTTTGAACTGTGTCATCGTTGCATCACAAGAGTTTATTCGTTCGACTGCATATCCAAATTTCATTTCTGACATAACCGTGTCCAGTTTAGAAAAAATCTTCTATGAAGATAGTGGCGCAGCTACGAGTACGGTAAATACTAGGGTGCAGTTTGGGTGTGAGATGGATGTGGGTATGGCTGTTGGTATGGATTGTGTGCGAAAGTATGGTTGAAGGAGAGTGTGGGTGTGGGTGTAGGTGTGATTAAAGAGAAAGATGACACCCACACTCACACCCTTGTACTACTCATGTCTGCAGTCGATTCTTTCTACTCTATTCTATTCTATTGAGCAGACAAGTCATAATTATTTCTGAATAATTCATCAAAAAAGAAATAATAAAAACAAACTTTAGAAGAAAATGCTTTGTTTTATAGCATAATAAAATTTATACAGTTTAGCATTTTCTTTCTTTTGATTCATACAAAAATCTTCTTCATTAATAATTAAAAGATTTACTTTGTTATTTTCATCTTTTTTGAATAACATTTCACAGTTCTATAAATAGAGTTCATATGAAACCAAACATCACTTGAATCAGTTTTGATCACAGCATAAATATATAATATTATGAATAACTATATTTTATACTTTTCTATATAAAATATTACTTGTGCATAAAAAATTAAAAACTGATTCTACATTTTTGTTTTTCATTATTATATGATATTAGCATTCTTCTAATACTAATGCTAAGTCCCCCTCCCTGATTTCCTCACAGTGATGAAATGAGAAAACACAATTTCATTTTTCTCCTCGATTTTGTTATCCATCGAGATGTAAGCCGATGAGTCGATCGACGGCGGCTGTAAAAAATAATTTTTTTTATGCTCACGACGGCGAATGAAACTTTCAAAAATTTTTCTTACTAATAGCGGCGTGGCGGCTGAGCCGCACGGCTTACACCTCTAGTTTTACCTATAGATAGATTTAATAATTATTAGATAGTCCTGGAAGTTTCAACGAAAAGGAACATGTCTTTCTCAAGTTGTTCAATTTACAAAAAAAAACAGTTGGTTACCATAGGAGGGCACAATAATATAGCTTAGTTAGACATTGAAGGTCTTGAGAAGAGCACGTTCATTGTCGTTAAAACTTTCAGAATTATCTAATGATTATTAAATCTATCTATAGGTAAAATTTCAGATCGAAATCCTTCATTTTAGTTTTTTCCGAAATGCCTGGCACACAATAAAAATTTCAGTAAAATGGCCATAAATCTGCACCAGTAGGTCATGGGGACGAAACCTTTTAAAGATTTTTCTTATCTCAATACACTCGAATGAGGTACGAATGAACTAAAATGAAGCTGATTACTCGGAAATGTTCTCTCGTCAATGTAATTTTCTCTCTTTTATTTAGTTCTCATGACACGTTTAGCAATTTTCTTCGAAGAATTCAGCCGTCATATTATTGTTTTGTTTATTGTTTTAGATTATTGATTCTCATAGTTGTGCGTTGCCGTGAGAACAATTCGAATTGGTTGATTCAATTTGATTTTTCTCTCTCATTATTTAGTTATGTTTGTAGTGATGGTTAACTTTATCTAAAAAATGGAAGCTTGTTTACTTTGCTGCTCTTCATTTAATTGCTTAACCACTCTAACTGTTCTTTTAACAGAGAAACGCAGAAAGCTAGTTTACTTTACTTCTTTTTTTATTTTACTTATTCCAATAGTTACCGGAGATTTTACAGCAGCAACAGAATGAAAAAAAAACACGCTTTCCTTTTCTTTTTTTCTGTTGGTTATTCTCAATATTCCTCGTCATTTTCTCGAGAAACGTCTAACAGTAAATCGGAGAAAGTTAGTTTAGTTTATTTCTCTTTTATTTTACTTATTCCAATAGATGCCGGAGATTTTACAAAAACAAGAGAATGAAAAAAATGCCTTCTTTTTCTTTTTTTCATTATGTTATTCTGAGTATTGCTCGTCATTTTTTATGAGAAAAATCTAAACGGTTAGTTTTGTTTATTTTTTCTCTTTTATCGTTCAGTTATCCCTGAGAGTAATCGTACATTTTATAACAAAAATCGTGTAACTTAGTCTTATGTATTTTTTCTGATAATTATTTTTATACTTTGTTCGTTTCTTCTGAGAGAAACGAAAAGGGTAGATTTGTTGTTGCTGTTTTTGTTCAATTATTCCAAACATTCTTGGGTATTTTACAATGGAAATTTAATTAGAAAGTTAGCCTGAAATTTTTTCTTTATTTAGTTATTGTCTTACTTTCGTCTTATTTTGTAATAGAGTTTGAATAATAAAGTTAATTTTAGTCTTCATTTCGTCATTTACTTATTCTGATAGTTGTCTAGTATCATATTGAAATGAATCGAATAAGTTGGTTTTGTTTTGTTCTATGAATTTCAACGATGATTGCTCTGAAGCTCATGCGAGACATTGAATAAGCAAGCTCAAGTTTATTCTTTTTCTCGATTTAAATCTGCCAGATATTGGACGAACATTTCATGCGAAGGATGTGGATGTGGATGAGACTTACGTCTTCAATCACAACTATATCTCACCGCACAATTCAGACACTCAGCAGACTGAGGCTCGCGAGGGAACCTCTCGAAGTGATAAAAAGTTTTTGGATTCGAACTACTTTTATCGTGTAAAGCCTAGGGAGTAGTGAAATGCCTCGAGTTGATTTGTTTCCTGATTGCTTTGGGAGGAAGTTATGACCAATTTACTGATTTTTTTTGACATATGGTACCATATGAGTAGTAGTAAATGAGCGACTTTGGATCTGAAATTTTGTCCATAAAGAGGTTTTATGAACACTAGAATATCCTATAAGTTTCAGACAAAACGAATGCATCCTTCTTCAGATAATGGATTTTCAAAAATCGACTATTTCTCGCACGAAATAAAAATTTCTCTTACAGGACAATCGTTTTTTGAACATTCACTATCTCAAGAAGGATGCACTCGTTTTGTCTGAAACTTATGGAATATTCTAGTGTTCATAAGACTAGGGGTGCCACACTTACCACCACTTCCACTTACCAGGTAAGTGGTAAGTGTTTTAATCATCGAAAAATTTCCGGCATAGCACTAATAAATGATTGCTTTAATGATTGATTATTTATTCTTGCATAGTGATCTTCACCACTTACCATTTTCCAGTAAGTGGTAAGTGGTTTGCATCTAACTGAAGACAGACCATTCACTACACATAATTGATGATTCCAACATAAATCTTTCGTGGCTTTTTTTGACTAATTAAATTTAGGTATGCACCAGTACAGCCTAACTAGGAACCAATCGGCGACTGGATACCGATTCGATTGGGTTGTATTCTGACTGAGATATGCAATCGGATTATGTCTAACATGAATGATGATTGGTACTTATAGAACATGAATCAATAGGCATTAGTATAGAATCATTCAGTTTGGATCCAGTGCCTAGTAGGAACCAACGAGGGAACCGCTCGAAGTGATTCACCATTTTTGACCTCATGTTGTGCGGATATTGAGAGAACCTCTAGATTAGAATAAACCTAGAAGGATTCAGCCTCATAGACTTCCTGTCTTGAGATATTGAATTTTCAAGTTCTTCGATGATACAGCGTTTTTAACCATATATTACCACATACCATAAACGGAAACGTACTACAAGCTAAAATTTTTCTAATGAATTTTTCTAATTATCAGCATATTATCCTAAAGTTCACCGACTTTTGCTTTATGTATCTAGCCTACAATAATTTTTTCATTAACCAAAACATCGTCACAGACACGTCTGCTGGACGATGATAAATAGAAAAAAAGTGCGTACTGCACATATTTCAACACGTTCTGTTGTGGCTAGACATCGGCGTGACCAAAATGTCGTGACCAAAGAAAAAAAAGTTATTCGATTATAGTTTCAATAATAAATGTAAGAACCGAAACCTATTTAAGTATTCTTGTTCAGAATTTTCTTCTCTTCAAAATTAGATATAAAAGTCGAAGAATCTGATGATCTATAACAGATAAACTTGCATTACATCAGTCGTGACCAGAAAACGTCGTGACTGACCGTGGCCAGAATTGGTCACGACTAATGTGATGTGATTGTCTCTGTTATGGATCATCAGATTCTTCGACATTTATATACCATTTTGAAGAGAAGAAAATTCTGAACAAGAATAGTTAAATAAATTTCGGTTCTCACATTTACTATTGAAACTATAATCGAATAACTTTTTTTTTCTTTGGTCACGACATTTTGGTCACGCCGATGTCTAGTTGTGGCACATGATAGCGACTGCGCTATGATTATCGGAATAAGCAAAAGTATGTTGTGATACACGTGGTTCGCGTGAGTCTTCGTTTTAAGATATTTTTTTCCACTCAACTGTGTAACCAGAAGGATGATTAGTAGTACGAGAATTGCGAAGCTTTTAGTGGATCGAGGGACTGAAAATGAGGA